CCTACTCCCCTCGTGTGCCTTCGGTCGAGTCTCAGATACGTACATACATTTACACACACACACACACACACACACACATATATATATATATATATACATATATATATATATATGTGTGTATATATATATGTACAAAACATGCAAACATACACGCAAACATACGTAGTCATATATTGTACAGTTGTGTCGAAGTTAACCATAATATGCAAGTAGATGACTCGAAATATAAATTTGGAACAGCGTTACGATCAGAGGGACTCCTGGTTGGAATTAGATATAAAAGAAGTATTTAAGATATCCAATTGCAACTCACCTCCGAACATATGCGTCTTTGTCGGTACACGCGCGCCACATGCCATGTACCGCACTCGACGTCTTCAAAGCGGATACAAACTTGGCATATCGACTTGCAGGGTGCTCAAATCCAATCCTTGCTTTTCCATCAATAAATGGGATATCATCATCAGCGCTGAGCACATCTGATTGTCTATGACATAGATATTCGCGTCGTATACTTGTAGCTTTTCTCGCTTCTGTATGAGCATCCTTTATAGTGCCGTGCAGACATTCTACCACCGAGTCTCTTACTTCCCACCGGGGGTCGTACAGTAGTCGCGCCCAAGTATCCACAATTACCTTCTCTTGGGGCGTAGACACACACACACACATACACGTGCCGCCCTGCGAGCATGCACACACACACACGCGCGAGAGGTACGCACGAGTCACAGCCAGCGTGTCCTTGATCAGTGTGGTGTCCAATGAAGGATCCTCCAGCATGGAGAGGACTGACGTGCAGATGTTCGGAACATAAGCATTTGCAGCAGGGCAATAGCACGATGTCGCAACAACCGCGGAGGCGGCATTCAGTACAAATCTACGGACACGGTGGTTGGCAAGGAAATGGTAAAAATTAAGTAGGAGACCAATGTATAATTTCCCGTTTCACAGATCGTGGACTAACATTTCACATCAATATATGTTGTTTGCGCGGACATTAATGTCATATCTATAGACGGTGTACTCCTATTCCTATAGCCTGCTTGGAATAACAATGCCGCCGCCATAAATGAAGCATGACTGCATGGAATTCACGTTCTGAACAGTCTCCTGGTATATGAACCAACACTCAAGCCACTACGCGAACAAGTTAAAATCCGGATGCCTACATTCAAAGTACCTGCGGTGTCGGATGGTCAATCTCTTGGGATTACGCTGTGTGATAGACGCCAATAGAGACGCCGTCAGCCTACACTGCCATTCGCTCATATCCTTATCTCCCTGGATACAAGCTCGATTTGGCGAGTGTGCCTTTACATGGTTGTACGTATTCGGCTTCACACGCGCATGTGTCTGCTTGCGTGCTGGCGCAGGCTTAGGGCACCAGTGCTGTATTAGTGGAGGTACTATAGCGGCAACTAGTTTCTTATCCGCAGTCATCCCCATCACCTCTCGCCGCACGCTAAACCCAGTGCCAGATAGTACCGAACTTCCTTGAGCGTCAGCCAGAGACAGTGTCCGCCTGAACTCTTTCAGCCAATCGGTGCACAGTTGCTCATTCGCACGTGTTTGCTTTGGTACTGATGTCATGCTGCTTGTACATTCAACCAGGCGGAAGGTCAGACTTTCTATCGAGGCGTTGTTCTCTCGCTGTGTGGGTGTGGGCGTGGGCGATTGTATTTGCGAGGCTGCCTCCAGCTCAGCGCACAGACTGTCCGATGCCAAGCGTAGTAGTTGTCGGCTCAAATCGCTCTCATCTCCCTGTGGGCACTAAGGGCAAAACACGCAAAGTTGGGATGTGAATCACCCATACAATTGACATGATAACGGCTGGTAGGGACTGGTTGTGCAATACTAATGTTCAAAACCAGGTGTGTACTATCTGGAGGTACTACCAATGCTAACCGTGCTCGTCATCTATACGGGATATGTTTAACATCACTGCCCACACTATGCAGCCATGCTAAGGTTGCATACATGAATTCTATTGGTTGGTTTGGTTGTTAAATGAGATTGTACCCACTCATTGGGATTGCCATATCCAAATGGAACTACTAACATCGATTACTTTTGCGGATGACTTTGTGCATCTGCATTGTTGATATATGAAACACCCTCCCAGCCCGTAACCTCGAACACACACAACGCCAGCCACTGTCACGCACACCTACCTGCAACGCCGCGACCCGAACGGGAATGTGTATGAAGGCAGTGTTCTCGAGACAGAACGGAAGCACAGACAACACCAGCGACGACATCACTGCATCTGTGGCACATGTGCACTCCCTATGCACGCTCTTGTCCGCTGCCATACTAGCGTTCTCGATGCAAATTGGTGTGCATACAGGTGTGTTGCGCATTAAAACGTGAGGGCCGAGCTGGCCGTTGCAGAGGCGAGCAAGACATGCGGCGGCGATATCTAGGGCTTGCACACGCAGCCTGGGGTCAGTGTCTACGGAGAGTTTGGTCCACACTAGTAAAGGCAGTGCGGTTTTTTCCAGAAATATTGCGCACCCGCCGTTGTGTCTGCTACAATATGTGTGTGAGTCTGTTTAGAAGTTGCTATAGGCATAGGAAATGTTCGTGTACTACCTGGGTTTGCACGGTTACACTGGCATGTCCGAGTGAGTACTATAACGAATAGCAGTACTGCTAGTAGGGTTTGAGACGTATGCATAATACTGCATTGGTATACGAACTTCATCGGAGAACATCAAAATATGCATCACGTAAGGCTTGCACAAGACTCATTGGAGTGAGCATGGTCCACACACAACGAAGCTCACATACATGGCTCACGCATATGCGTACACATTGCACTGACACAAACCGCTGCACACGACCGATCACAACCAGAGAAGTGTGTCTTTGGTTCTACCTTTAAAAGACTGTATAGTTTCCCCTACCTTTGAGCATCACTGCCAAGATCCAGGGGGACGCTGTCCTGCACAGCCAAGCACACGGCTAGTACCATGTCAGCTATGGCTTTCTTACGTTCGTACGAGAAAGCTGGGGCATCATCCAGAACGCGAGTGATCTCATCATACATCGGTGAGCCATCTTGCCATATCTTTGCCAGTAAGCGCTACAACAAGAATTATGGGAGTGTTAGCCTACTGGACTTCACATGCGATTGGGGGCAATTCGGGTATGTGTTTCGGTGTGTGTGCATATAACGTCCGTAAGTTTAGAGAAGACTCCGAGTACCGAGGACATGTAACACTGGTCACTGCAGTGATTGATGCTCGTACTCATACCTCCAGCGGTAACTGCAGGACAACGCCTCACAAAACAAACGTGTGGACAGCTCACCAGCCTTTGCTGAGGATACACACATCCGTATAGAATCTAGCAATAGAACAGCAAGAAAGGGCACCTACTCTGCCACAGGCTTAATATACACTCTATATAGAACTACTACGATTGAGTCACCCCGCGATCAAAATGATCTTGCAAGACCAATCACAGCGTAGTGACAACCAACCTACCGGCGTGTCCTGGCACGCGTTTAGCACATTCACCAGCAGTGTACGTCCCTGCAGCTGCACATAGATACTTCGGTCAGACAGCGATGCGGCGACGCATTCGAACAGACTCTCTTCCTCATGTGCACACCACTCTACACTCCTCCTCGCACTTTCGTGTGCGTTCACGTCCACCTGCGTAGTCCTACACTGTGTCGCATCAGGAGTGTGTTTGTTATTACGTGGCGTCGCAGAGTCCGCATGGTGGCCTGCGAAGGAAGCAGCCAATGTCAGACACTCGTACGCTGCGGTGCGGATGCGCGGCTCAGCGTGGTTGGTCAGTCGCAGGGCGATGTTGAGAGCATCCAGGGGACCATCATGTACCACTGAAGAGAGAGAGACAGGACATGTGAAGACATGGGCTCGTATGAGTGCACAACTGGCGAGGCGGCTAATGAATGTACAAGTTAGAGAATATAGCGCCTGAACGGCTGCAACACACATGAAAGGCATACGCCTGTTACTTTAAACCCATAGAACTCTCTAGGGCTGAAGCGCAGATGGAGCTTTGAGGGGAGAGAGCTTAAGCTAAGCGGAATTCGATGACACGATAGATGCGCGACATTCAGGAGTGCTGTGGTTTGTTTGTAGAAGAATGCGGATGCGGTTGAATGCCCTTAAGACATCGGATGACAATGCCAACGAGGTATGTGAACGTGCCCACAGCCTTCACACTAATACCACACAATACGAGTACGCAGGGTCTGTCTTCTTGTACACACACGGGTGCGTATGCAACCACTTTACTGGGGCAGATGCGCGGTGAACCGTGGACTATCAAGACTAACACAGCGGATGCAGCATAGGTACAACGTACTTTTAAACGCGGCATCCCCCAGAGAGCACAGATGGCCACACAACTTCAGCATAACCGCAACCACTCGCGACTCTTTCTGTTGTAAACCGCTTCCAATCATTCTTAAGATCTCCTCATGGCCTGCAAAGTCTGAGGGGAATTTCGGAGACAGTTGGTATCCATCTCGGGCCCTTATTCTATTTACGGGGTCTAAAGTTACGCACCTCAGCATCCAGTCCAGGACCTTCTCGTACAGAGTGTCGTCTACTATCCTGGTGTGATCTTCCCGGAGTATCAGGCGCAACGTCTGGGTTGGAGAGGGAACACAAACGGGTCACAGACGTTACAGAAGTTAATTTGTATACTGTATATCACTACAGCTAAAGACATGATATTTCGATTCTGCGGAGATTTTTCTCACCACACCATACTAAGTACAGGTAACAGCGAAAATGGTGTCGGTTAGAAACTCTAATGGATATATATGTTTATTTAAAATCACGAGCGGCATGGACATGGATATCATTCACTTGTGTAACAACTCGAGGTCAACTGTCACATCTATATCGTAGGAGACCTTGTATATATGTGTAAAGATCAAAGAAATAAACCAGTGAACACATGTAGATGGCGTTGTGCAAATATGAAAACGAATATATGCTCCGAACTGTATGCGAGTATAACCCTACTTGTGATAAGTCTGCACATGCAAAGGTGGTATCCGATCTCAGGTCTCAAGACGATGTGAGAGAGATGGTAGAGGTGATTATAGGTGACTGAAAACTAAAGACACACATATTTCAAAACTATTTGGCTAAGGAAGCTTCTGCTTCTATATCTTCCCACGACCAACCTCAATAAATTGAGTCTCATGGTGGAAATCTTCTGCATCAGAGACCAACACCGTTCGAGCGTCCGAGTGTGGCTCGTTTTGCGCCATCATGGCCAGTCCGTAAATATATACTGTAGTACTATCTATGTATTTCTAGAGAAGTAGTATAGGCGAGCCAGCATGAGTGGTATTTATGCCACACATACATATTTATTTATTTCATATGTGTACTTTATAGATAGGTGTGAAAAAGTCGAGGTCAAAGGTACAGGTCACAGGAGGGGACGCCGCGCCGGGTATTCCCGCTGTTGATCTAAAAGCTTTAACACCGCCCACCGCTCCTCCACCAATCCACACTACGTTGTTGGGCAGTAGTGATGAGGTAGTAGTTCATGATATACGTTAAATAAGCGTATTAACGAATAATAAAAAAGTTTGTATGTACATATCGTGATATATATTTTAGAGTTGAACTTGAACGTAAATATTTACACGTATAAATATCAACTGTCAACAGGTGGTACCGAACGTTTCCACTTTCCACAGGTTGGAAAAGCAGACACAAAATAAATAATTATATATTGCGTGTCAATATGAATGCACATCGGGTGTCATCAAATCGGATAATGTTTGACGCCATTAGGATAATAACATAGCGATCACAAATCGATTATTCTGCTGCTGCTGCTGCTATGGTATATTTAATTTTAATTCTATCCAAACTCTGAATATATATAATATATTTTATATCACGCATAGACAAGGTTGGCTGTGTATCGTGTACATACAGACACACAGCGTGTGGTCGAGGAGCAGATGTATGCATATTAACACCCCCATCCTGCTGTGCTAAAGCATAGCTAGAGTACTCGTTTTTAATATAATAAGAGTTTAATAGGGACTATATATCGTGCTTAAAAGATAGTAAAAAGAGAACATAGGAGACGGCAGTAGAACAACAGCCTACATACAAATTCACATAAGTGTATAGGAGTTCAACTTAATATGACGAATCAGATAGGGAAACCTGAGGTATCGCCACACGAGGGCATCTGGAGCAGTTTGCTGGAAGAAGCGCTACATGGTTCGTCCCGTCTGAGTGAAACTAAGCAGATTGTGTTAGTCGGCGGCCCACATTCAGGCAAAGCAGCGATAGCTAGGAACGTACTAGGGGTTGGTGGAAAAGGAAAGGAGAGTGAATACGATGCATATGCACTCAGAGGAGGTCCATCGTATCTGGATAACAAAGGGCTTGGGCTGGCGTATGAGTATGTGAATGTCAAGGTGAAGGAGGAAGATGAGGCACATATTGGCGTTTGGACGCTGGGAAGTGATGTATCGTATGGAACATTACTACCGCATGCCCTGGGTGGGAAGGCCGACGGTAACGAAGGGAATACCAATCTACAAAACACTTTGTTCATGTTTGTGGTCGACTGGTCGAGGCCTTGGCTGATACTGCCATCACTGGAGAAGTGGGTGAGTGTTGTAGAGGCACAGCTAGATACTGTGCTGGGTGACGACTACGAGACACGGGTAGCTATGGAAACGGCACTGGTGGATAAATTCAGACTGTATAGAGACCCCAAGGGTGGTATGGAAGCAATCGAGGAGGAGTTAAAGACAGCAACAATCAAGCGGAAGGTTAAGCGAACACCTACGAATTCGTTGGCGGCTGCCACACAGACACCCACAAAGGCCAAGTCACCTGACCCCGTACAGACTGTCGGTAGTCCGAAGGCGGGGTCGAAAGCACCCTTGGGTGCACAGAAACTGACACAGGGAGCTTTGGTGAATAACTTGGGCTTGGATATGCTTGTTGTGGCTACAAAGGTATATCTATGATGTTGGGGAAAGTCCGTTAAAGTATGTTTTTGGGGGTTGTAAAGCAAACCTGCCACCAGTAAAAAAAATATAGTTGGGGAAGATTTTGATAATATATCACGAATTCACATGATCGTATACACACACACACACTCTCTCTCTCTCTCTCTCGTGTACACACACACAGAGAGACACACACACACAACACACAAACACACACACACAACACACACACACAAACACACAAACACACACACTCTCTCTATTTCTCT